AAAGAGATGGGTTGACTGCATGTATTTGGACCTAAAAAAGGCTTTCGACAGAGTTCCACATGAGGTTGTTCTGGAAACTGGAAAATATTGGAGGGGTGACAGGTAAGCTTCTAACATGGATGAAAAATTTTCTGACTGATAGAAAAATGAGGGCAGTAATCAGAGGCAATGTATCGGACTGGAGAAATGTCACAAGTGGAGTACTACAGGGTTCAGTTCTTGCACCAGTGATGTTTATTGTCTACATAAATGATCTACCAGTTGGTATACAGAATTATATGAACATGTTTGCTGATGATGCTAAGGTAATCGGAAGGATAAGAAACTTAGATGATTGTCATGCCCTTCAAGAAGACCTGGACAAAATAAGTATATGGAGCACCACTTGGCAAATGGAATTTAATGAGAATAAATGCCAAGTTATGGAATGTGGAATAGGAGAACATAGATCCCCCACACAACCTATATATTATGTGAGAAATCTTTAAAGAATTCTGATAAAGAAAGATCTAGGGGTGGTTCTAGATAGAAAACTATCACCTGAGGACCACAGAACGTTGTGCGAGGAACCTATGCCACGCTTTCTAACTTCAGAATTGCTTTTAAATACATGGATGGCGATATACTAAAGAAATTGTTCACGACTTTTGTTAGGCCAAAGCTAGAATATGAAGCGATTCTGTGGTGCCCATATTTTAAGAAGCACATCAACAAACTGGAAAAGATGCAAAGACATGCTGCTAAGTGGCTCCCAGAACTGAAGGGCAAGAGCTACGAGGAGAGGTTAAGAGGCATTAAATATGCCAAAACTAGAAGACAGAAGAAAAAGAGGTGATATCATCACTACATACAAAATAGTAACAGGAATTGATAAAATCAATAGGGAAATTTTCCTAAGACCTAGAACTTCAAGAACAAGAGGTCATAGATTTAAATTACCTAAACACAGATGCCGAAGAAAAAAAAAAAAATTCACTTTCGCAAACAAAGTGGTAGACGGTTGGAACAAGTTAGGTGAGAAGGTGGTGGAAGCCAAGACTGTCAGTAGTTTCAAAGCGTTATATGACAAAGAGTGCTGGGAAAACGGGACACCACGAGCGTAGCTCTCATTTCTTGTAACTACACTTAGGTGATTATACACACACACACACAAATCACACAAAATTTTCAAAGGAAAATGTCAGTGATTTTAGAAGAATAGGAAAATATGAGAAAGAAAAGAACCGCCCCTTAAGGGTGACCTTTAATGGAGTGAAAAACATGATGGAAGTGCTAAGAAATGCCAGGAAACTGCAGAGTGATGAGGTTGGCAAATCTTGGTCAATAAGACAAGACCTCTCCAAGGAAGACAGAGAAAAGCTGAAAATGAACTTAATTGAGGCAAAACGGCTAAATGGGGATAGAAATGAAGAAGACAGAAATTCTTTTTTTTACAAAGTGACAGGGACTGGAAAGCTTGTGAAATGGTACATAAAAACAAAGCAACAAGATCAGTAGTGGAAGGGGGAGTAAAGAGCAAAGGAAAAGGGAACATGTTCCTGAAAATTGTATATACCAACATAGATGGAGTGAGGTCAAAAACTTTGGAGTTGCAAGATATAATCCAGCTTAGGGTCCCAGATATTGTTGCATTATCAGAAACGAAACTTGAAGGAAATATAATAAATGAAGTCATATTCCCAAGAGGCTACTCAGTTTGGAGACGTGACAGGAAAACTAGGAAGGGAGGAGGAGTGGCTGTACTGGTGAAAAAACACCTGAAGGTAAAAAGAGTTAATATTTGAAAACCCTCGAGATATTGACATAATGGCATTGCAGGTCTGGAATCAGGATGATAACCTGATAATTGTAAATACCTACAGCCCACCAGCAAGCAACACGTGGACAAAGGAAGAACTGGATGACAAACGAGAGGGCCTCATAATGGTCATGAGAGAGATTATTGTACAAGCAGATAAAGATAAATCACGACTGTTGATACTGGGGGACTTCAACTTTAGAGCAATAGACTGGGAGGCCTATGAAGCAAGAACGGAGGACTTTTGGACATGCAGATTTGTGAACCTCATTCTGGAGACATTCTTGTATAAACACATAAAGCAAGCCACAAGAATGAGGGAAGGAGATATACCGTCAGTACTGGATCTAGTATTCACCAGGAAAGAAGAAGAGATTTTTGACATCCAGTACCTTCCTCCCTTGGGAAAGAGTGATCACGTCCTGTTAGACATTAAATATGCTTTAAGATATCATCTAGAAGAAAATGGGGACATTGAAACAGTTGATAAACTCGATTTAAAGAGAGGCAACTATGGGGAACTTCGAAATTTTTTTAATGAGTGTAATTGGACAGAATTGTTGCTAGGCAGGGAAGTAAATGAAATGTATGCCAAATTTTTAAAACTATACAAGGAAGGCACACAAACATTCATACCAAAACAGAGATGCAGGACCAGAAAACAGGATTGGTTCGACAGAAATTGTGAGAGGGCAAGAGACCAAAAGACACAAAAATGGAATCAGTATAGGAAGAGGCCAAACCCCCAAACATACCAGCGATACAAAGATGCGAGAAACAATTATACAGCAGTAAGGAGAGAGGCAGAAAGAAATTTTGAAAAAGGGATAGCAGATAAATGTAAAACAGAACCGGGCCTATTCTACAAATTCATAAACAACAAATTGCAGGTAAAGGATAATATCCAGAGGTTGGAAATGGGAAACAGATTCACGGAAAATGAAAAGGAAATGTGTGAAACATTAAATGAAAAGTTCCAAAGTGTGTTTGTACAAAATGAAATCTTCAGAGAACCAGACACAATAAGAATTCCAGAGAACAACATAGAGCGGATAGAGGTGTCTAGAGATGAAGTGGAAAATATGCTAAAGGAGCTAGGGAGGAACAAAGCAGCTGGCCCAGATGGCGTTTCACCATGGGTTCTGAGAGAATGTGCATCTGAGCTCAGCATTCCACTTCACCTGATCTTTCAGGCATCCCTGTGTACAGGAATCGTAGCAGACGTGTGGAAACAGGCTAACATAGTTCCAATCTACAAAAGTGGCAGCAGGGAAGACCCCCTCAATTATAGACCTGTATCATTGACAAGTGTAATAGTGAAAGTATTGGAAAAGCTAATCAAAACTAAATGGGTAGAACACCTTGAGAGAAATGATATAATATCAAACAGACAGTATGGTTTTCGATCAGGAAGATCCTGTGTATCGAATTTACTCAGTTTCTATGATCGGGCCACAGAGATATTACAGGAAAGAGATGGCTGGGTTGACTGCATCTATCTGGACCTAAAAAAGGCTTTCGACAGAGTTCCACATAAGAGGTTGTTCTGGAAACTGGAAAATATTGGAGGGGTGACAGGTAAGCTTCTATCATGGATGAAAAATTTTCTGACTGATAGAAAAATGAGGGCAGTAATCAGAGGCAATGTATCGGAATGGAGAAATGTCACAAGTGGAGTACCACAGGGTTCAGTTCTTGCACCAGTGATGTTTATTGTGTACATAAATGATCTACCAGTTGGTATACAGAATTATATGAACATGTTTGCTGATGATGCTAAGATAATAGGAAGGATAAGAAATTTAGATGATTGTCATGCCCTTCAAGAAGACCTGGACAAAATAAGTATATGGAGCACCACTTGGCAAATGGAATTTAATGTTAATAAATGTCATGTTATGGAATGTGGAATAGGAGAACATAGACCCCACACAACCTATATATTATGTGAGAAATCTTTAAAGAATTCTGATAAAGAAAGAGATCTAGGAGTGGTTCTAGATAGAAAACTATCACCTGAGGACCACATTAAGAATATTGTGCAAGGAGCCTATGCAATGCTTTCTAACTTCAGAATTGCATTTAAATACATGGATGGCGATATACTAAAGAAATTGTTCATGACTTTTGTTAGGCCAAAGCTAGAATATGCAGCTGTTGTGTGGTGCCCATATCTTAAGAAGCACATCAACAAACTGGAAAAGGTGCAAAGACATGCTACTAAGTGGCTCCCAGAACTGAAGGGCAAGAGCTACGAGGAGAGGTTAGAAGCATTAAATATGCCAAAACTAGAAGACAGAAGAAAAAGAGGTGATATGATCACTACGTACAAAATAGTAACAGGAATTGATAAAATCGACAGGGAAGACTTACTGAGACCTGGAACTTCAAGAACAAGAGGCCACAGATTTAAACTAGATAAACACAGATGCCGAAGAAATATAAGAAAATTCACCTTCGCAAATAGAGTGGTAGACGGTTGGAACAAGTTAAGTGAGAAGGTGGTGGAGGCCAAGACCGTCAGTAGTTTCAAAGCGTTATATGACAAAGAGTGCTGGGAAGACGGGACACCACGAGCGTAGCTCTCATCCTGTAACTACACTTAGGTAATTACACTTAGGTAATTACACACACACAGGGGCCTGTGGCTGAGTGGACAGCACTTGGGACCTGTAATCCTAGGGACTGGGAATCAATCCCCAGCTACGGCGTAAACAAATTGCCAGTTTCTTTCACTCTGATGCCCCTGTTACCTAGCAGTAAATAGGAAGTTAGACAGCTGTTATGAAAACAGTTATCCTCAAAACATTCAAAACAACTGAAACACACCAATGTACCATCAACTATTTGCTCAACATGCCCAAATAAATTTTAGTATAGTCTTGCCAAACTTGAGGTGTTTCAGCTTTTACATTACACTTCTCTGCCTGAATGTTTTAAATATTTACAGTATTATTAATTTGTGTTTCACTTACTTTGTACAAGTATTTCAATATACAGCCATTGCCATTTATTTCTGGGGTATCATTTCTAACCATCATATTCTAAGAATATATTCCTGGTCTACCATTCAAATCTATCATTTACTGTACCCTGCTCTGAAACTCTTTGATATGATACTAATCTTATTCGTAAAACTAAACAAATTTTATTTTTTTTCATTCTCACTTTATCACATAGAGCAACAAAGAGCATATAATACCTGAGCACGGTTGCCTGCAGTAATATTCGAGATTGTCCAGCATGCTTCTTTCCGGATGGATTCTTTCGGCGATGACAACAAGTGTAAAAGACAGGGCAGTGCCGAGCAGTTGAGAATTACCTAAGAAAAAAATTACACACATCAGACACCACTTGGAATATAATTGATGAAATACATTATCACAAACAATTATAGCAGTATACAAATGTTTTGAACAACAATTCAACAAGATAAATTATCAGAAGAAAGTGCTTAGCCAGTATAACTATCCTCCTACTACGAATGAGTTGTTCCGAAAACGTGTTTGAATAACACTCTTTCTGAACACAATGATATTTCCCATAGCCACAATGATATAAATGATATATACACCTTCAACCCGGAGTCATGTGGGACTTGGTCTCTGCATGAGATTCAAGAGTCACACTGATTGGTAGAATGCCCTTTGTTTACCCTTGGGGCATGGTGCATACTTGGAACACACCTAGAAAGAGTTTCAGGAGTTCTTCTACTCCCCGAGGCCAACCTGGGGCCAGGTCCGACTTGTGATAACTTGGTCCAACAAGCTGTCCCTTGGAGCAGCCCGCCGGCCCACGTATCCATTACAGCCTGGTTGGTCCAGCACATCTTGCAAGAACTTGTCTAAGTGCCTCTTGAAATCAACAACCATTGTGACAGCAATATTTATAGTGTTTGCTGGGAGGGTACTGAACAGCCATGGACCCATGATGTTCAGTGTTATCTGACTGTGCCTATGGCACCTATATTCCTCACTGGTTCTATTCTGAATTTTCTTCTGTACTTTTCCCTCCAGTATGTTGTTATTCTACTGTGCAAATTTGGGACCTGGCCTTCCAGTTTCTTCCATGTATATATTATTTGATATCTTTCTTATCTCCTTTACTGAGTACATTTTGAGAGCTTTGCGATGGTCCCAATAATTTAGATGTTTATCGTTTTTATGAGTGCTGTATAGGTTCTCTGTATTCCTTCTATTTCAGAGATGGTTTTCATTATCCATCCTATCATTTTTCCTGGCCGCCACTATATTTGCTCAGTTATGTTCACTACAGGTCATCAGACATAATTCCCAGATCTTTTACATGTTGCTTTCCTTCTACGAGTAAGTCATGATTGTGTCCTGTACCCTGTATTTTGGTTAAGTTCCTCATTTACACTATACCTCAGTACCTGGAACTTATCATCGTTAAACATCATGTTATTTTCAGCTGATCAATCAATGCTAGACACAAGGACATTGGTCTTCATCTGTAACTGCTATAATTTTGCAATGATAGTATTACAGAAGAACCTGACTGTGATAAAGACTGTACAATAAAATTAGGCTGTAAACAATGTTCAGATATCTGTGAACACAATGCTGTTCAAGATGTTCGCAGTGCTAGCCACAGCACACTGCCGTTGTTTGGTCCATCCAAGAATCTTGAAACAACTTCTTTCGTTCCTTTACAAAATGAACTTGTGGAAAATTATTCATTTACTGGATTTTCAGCGAGTGGTGGATTTTGACTCCAAGGTCCTTTTCTTCATCAATCTAATGTAATGGCATTGACTTCATAGTTGTGGTGTGGGTTTTTATGTTCCACATGTAAGGTCTTGTATTTGTCGATATTAAAAAGCATTTGCCAATCTTCTGACCATTTGTGAAGTTCATGTAGATCTCTTTGTAAGGTTTCAATATCATTATCATTTTCCACTTTACCATAAATCTGTGTGTCATTTGCAAATTTGATGATGTGGTTTGTAATATTCTCATCTATGTCATTAATGTATATGACAAAAAGGGCTGGCCTCAAAATGGACCCTTGTGGCACCCAAACCCAGCGAGCATATACCCCACCCAGCGAGCATAAGAAATATTGCCGGAACAACCGTGGACATCTTCAAGAGGAAACTAGATTGTTTCCTCCAAGGAGTGCCGGACCAACCGGGCTGTGGTGGATATGTGGGCCTGCGGGCCGCTCCAAGCAATAGCCTAGTGGACCAAATTCTCACAAGTCAAGCCTGGCCTCGGGCCAGGCTTGAGGAGTAGAACTCCCAGAACCCTCATCAACCAGGTAATTAACCAGGTAATCAACTAACTAGGTACCCCACTTAGCACACTTCTCAATTCTGATTCATTCCCATTTAGCACGACCCTTTTTCTTTGTTTCAACCATTGTTTTATCCATTCTATATTATCCCATTTATTCCATGGGCCTGTAATCTCCTTGCCAGTCTTGTGGTACCTTATCAAAAGCTTTAGCAAAACCCTTGTACAGGGGTACCTTCGTTTACGAATTTAATCCGTTCCCAGAGACGACTCGTAACCAAAAATTCGTAACCCAAAATGAATTTTCCCATAAGAAATAGTGAGACTGTCCCCTGCTCGCCTTAAACGCTTTGATATCTGCATTACTGGTTCCAGATTTCCCTTTCACACATTTCACTGCCTCTGTTATGTGGCAGCCAGTCAGAACCGGTCAGTTAATCACAACATGTCAGTCAAGCATTCACAGTTGTGGTAGCAACCGGTTAGGCATTTACGGTCAGTCACGCATTCGCAGTCAGTCATGCATTCGCAGTCAGTTACGCGGTCACAGTCAGTCACGTGTTCACAGACAGTCACGCGTTCACAGTCAGGCTTTCACAGTCGCAACCAGGCAGTTAGCAAACAATAAGTTTAATGTCAGGCACTCAGGAAGTCTGCCTCCCGATCCAACAGCTGGTAGCAAGAAAGCCCACTGTATTAATACTGTACACATGGCCGGTCGGCCGAGCGGACAGCACGCTGGACCTGTGATCCTGGGTTCGATCCCAGGCGCCAGCGAGAAACAATGGGCAGAGTTTCTTTCACTCTATGCCCCTGTTACCTAGCAGTAAAATAGGTACCTGGGTGTTAGTCAGCTGTCACGGGCTGCTTCCTGGGGGTGGAGGCCTGGTCGAGGACCAGGCCGCAGGGACACTAAAAAAGCCCCGAAATCATCTCAAGATAGCCTAACCTCAAGAAGATGGCTGGGAGGGATACAGCTAGGGGGGGAGGGGGGTCCGGTGTGGGGGTGAGGAAATTGAGATCGTAGAGAGCGACTGGGGGTGACCAGCTCCTGCTCTAGTTCTAGTCGGACGCTGGTCCACTCACGGCACCGCTACCCACCCACCCACTCTGACCACCCGTCCTGCTACTCGTCTGCCCACCCGTCCTGCTATTCATCTGCCCACCCACTGTCCCCCCCCCCATCCATCCATCCATCCAGTCCCTTCACCATCCATCCATCCATCCAGTCCCTTCACCATCCATCCAGTCCCCTCACCATCCATCCATCCAGTCCCCTCATCATCCATCCATCCAGTCCCCTCATCATCCATCCATCCAGTCCCCTCATCATCCATCCATCCAGTCCCCTCATCATCCATCCATCCAGTCCCCTCATCATCCATCCATCCAGTCTCCCCCACCATCCACCCTGTTGTCCTCTCAAATACAATATTCTAGTGCGAGGGACACTAGTAAACTGAAGCCCAGTCGCCCATGCCACCAGAAACCATGTGCTTGGGTGATCCATGCGTGTATCAACAAACTCGTAACTCGAGGCAAAGCTCGTAAACCAATTCAAATTTCACAAATAAATTGGGTTTGCAATCCGAAAAATTCACAAAGAGGGGCATTCGTAAGCTGAGGTTCCACAGTATACTACATCCATCGGAAGACTTTTGTCTGAGTAGCTGGTTATGGTTTCCAAAAATGTGAGCAGATTTGTAAGGCAGGATGTATTTTCAACAAATTCATTTTGTGTCGATTTTACAAGATTGCCAATGAAACATGGTGAATGGTTCCCTCCCTGAGAATTTTCTACATCCCACCAATCCCACCACTGGACCCTCCCCACTACCCTCATCCCACCACTGGACCCTCCCCACTACCCTCATCCCACCACTGGACCCTCCCCACTACCCCCATCCCGCCACTGGACCCTCCCCACTACCCCCATCCCACCACTGGACCCTCCCCACTACCCCCATCCCACCACTGGACCCTCCCCACTACCCCTATCCCGCCACTGGACCCTCCCCACTACCCCCATCCCACCACTGGACCCTCCCCACTGGACCCTCCCCACTACCCCTATCCCGCCACTGGACCCTCCCCACTACCCCCATCCCACCACTGGACCCTCCCCACTACCCCCATCCCACCACTGGACCCTCCCCACTACCCCTATCCCGCCACTGGACCCTCCCCACTACCCCCATACCACCACTGGACCCTCCCCACTACCCCCATCCCACCACTGGACCCTCCCCACTACCCCCATACCACCACTGGACCCTCCCCACTACCCCCCATCCCACCACTGGACCCTCCCCACTACCCCCATCCCACCACTGGACCCTCCCCACTACCCCCATACCACCACTGGACCCTCCCCACTACCCCCCATCCCACCACTGGACCCTCCCCACTACCCCCATCCCACCACTGGACCCTCCCCACTACCCCTATCCCACCACTGGACCCTCCCCGCTACCTCCATCCCCCACACCGCCCCCTCACCCACCCACCCACATCTGGATCTTATTAATACTAAAGGCTTCCTTACTACCAACTAGTGGATCAGAGGCAGACTGCCTAATATTAAACTCTTGTTGTTTACTGACTGTGAAAGCCTGATTGACTGTAAATACCTAACTGGTTCCTACCACAACTGTGAATGCTCGAAATGCATGACTGACTTGTGACTAAGTGACCGGTTCTGACTGGCTACCACATAACAAGAGGCAGTGAAATGTTTGGAACGGAAATTTGGAACCAGTGATGCAGATATGAATGTCTTAAGGAGATCACGGGTCAGTGGTATCACTTCTCTCCTTCTCACCCTCCCTATACACCAACACTGCTCCCCCTTCCTGCCTCCCTCCTCACCGTCTCCCATACGCCAACAAGAGTCCTCAGTAAAGGTGAAGTGCAGTTAAATGTTCACTTAGTGCATTTATGGTTTATATTTATACCTGGTTGTTTTGTGTATGAAAAATATGAGTAATATTCTGTTTAAAATGTATTTTTAAGTAATATTTTTGGGGGTGTGGAATGGATTAATTCAATTTATATTATTTCTTATGGGAAAATTTGCTTTGGGTGACAAATTTTTGGATGAAGACGTGTCTCTGGGAACATATTACGATCGTGAACAAAGATACCACTGTATCTCATAATAATTGAGGTTCATTGTGGCTATGTTCTCCAGAGGTTCCGCTTGGTTATCATTGCTCATTTTAAGTTCCGTATCATCTATCTTGTTCCCTTTCTTTTCTTTCTTCTTTTTGGTACATTTTTTGAACGAGTTCCGTGGTGACCCTTTTGAAATCGGCTCCTTCCAGGAGATGTTTTGTAGTTTCTCTCTCATTCCTTGATAGTCTCCTCGATGGTAATCAAGAGATTCATTATCATTTACCTTTATGTGGGTTTCTGTATGCATAGTCCACCTTAAAATATGATCAGTTGAGAGGGTTAGTTTTTCCTAACCTGGACTTGATCAATCTTACCCTATTCTGATGGTAGCACAAGATCTAGTATATTGTTACCATGAGTGGGCTCTACCACATGCTGTATGAGAAAGGAGTCCTGTACCAGGTCTGGAAATTGTTCTCCTCTTGCTTGTGATGATAAATTTACCCAATCTATGGTTTCATGGTTAAAGTCCTCCATTATTTTGGGTTTGGGTTTCTGATGCTTAGACAGATCTGCAAATTCCTCTGCCGCTGCTGTGTAGGGGAGGTGGTCGGCCGAGCGGACAGCATGTTGGATATTTCCAACACCGAATACAACACTGTTGTATTCTCATTACTTATTACTAACTATACTAATTATTGTAGTAAGTAAAATTAACAACACGTAGAATTCTCATGTACTAATAATTTCATCTGTGCAGTAGGCTAGGATTCTCACGTCACCTGACGCCAGTATTGCGTCAGATTTCCTTACAGTAAACACATTATATCCAATGTATGTGAGAATTAAATTCGATTCTCTATAACTAAGGCATTCTGTATGATAACTAATTGCAGATGAAATTGACCTCCAACTAAAAGCCAAATAGAGCGTTGGAGTCATAGCGTTTCTCTCGTAATAAAGCTAACGTCACCAGTGAATGCCATGGGGAGACATTAATTCCTCTCCCTTATATATTTACTACTCTTAAAGTGGTAAATAATAATTTCCTCCTCTAAATAATAAACCCGTCCAGTCTTCAACGTTTCAAGCGTAAATGCGAGAAATATTAATGTTCGTGACATAATTTGTTTTATGAACGCGGGACGCGGCGTGGGTTGAGGAGGACCATACTCAGTACACGTGGAGAGCCGCTCAGAGGCAGACCTGCGCATACCGTACTCACAAGGAGACGCCATTGCCCAGCCACTAGGGCGGACGTTATCCATCCTCAGATGAAAGTCGCCACTGTGAGGCGTGAATAACCTTGCAGATAATATCTTCTACTGGTGCTGGTGTCATATAAGGAACTTAATTAACTTGGTTCTGGACTACACGTGACCGGCCAGTGAAGCGCGCCACGATCCAGGATAGGCCTAACAGGAGCCTGGGGACGCTAAGCACGGCAATCTTAAAACTTATACAGTGCCCTTTCAGCTAAGTATATTCCTTTATGTGATGCATCGGGTAAAGAGTTTAGTAATAGCTGGGTGATTGACCGTTATGACGCACGATAACATCTAATAACAGGTGATTAAATTTTGTCACCTATAACTCTCAATTTCTTGAATATATAGATTCAGTAGTTAAATTAGTTGCTACTGTAAATATTTGTCTTGCAGCACGAGAGAAGAATTCTCCATGCCGCCTTCTCCCATGTTAATCCGTCTCATTCGTCAGCCGACCGAGTCCAGAGAATAAGAGGAACTTCCATGGCTTGTCTGAAGGAATCGTCATTAAGCTAAGACTTTATTTTCTTTCATGATTCTATTGCAATTTCTTATGTACAGAATTCCTCAGGATTAATATGTGGTTTACTGTAACTCTCATTACTATGCTCATAATCTATGTTTCCCATTTATGGTAATGATATCAGTTTCAATATAAATTTTATAGGATTAGATTATTATTAATTGAATTAGTGAACGAACCACACTAATTCCTGGACGTACTTACCTCCAGTAATAACCCCCCAATGTAGGTGTTTGAAGGTTTGATTCATTTAACTATACAGCCCATTAATTATTTCTATGATCATATTCTCTAGTATTTTATCCATAGTTACTGGTTCATCTAGGAATTGTCTAATGATCAGAAATTCTCAGTTTCCCTCTTTACTATAAAAGCGGGTGGTCCTTCGTAATTTAATTTACTACATTAATATTTAAATAATCACAATCAAGCCCCAAATATCCCACACAGCACACTGGACTTGTGATCCTGTGGTTCCGGGTTCGATCCCGGGCGCCGGCGAGAAACAATGGGCAGAGTTTCTTTCACCCTATGCCCCTGTTACCTAGCAGTAAAATAGGTACCTGGGTGTTAGTCAGCTGTCACGGGCTGCTTCCTGCGGGTGGAGGGCTGGTCGAGGACCGGGCCGCGGGGACACTAAAGCCCCGAAATCATCTCAAGATAACCCTCAAGTAAGCCCTGTAGCATACTCCCACTGTCATTTTGCTTTCATCTTGAATTAGTATGGTGCTCCATACAGACTCTGAGGCTCCCATGGTGTTCAATTCATCATTGGTGGTTAGCAGCCAAGTCCTCTTTCATCTATAGCCTAACCCCACCTGCTCTTGTTGTTCTGTCCTTTCTGAATGGTGGGTGGTATCCTGGAAGATGGAATTCCCCCTTCTATTATGTCATCTCGTCCCCATGTTTCACTGATGCCAATGATGTCAGGATTTTCAGCCTCAGCATACATATAATGTCAAAATTTATTCACTAGGCTTCTGGTATTTGTGTACAAGTAATTCAAACTTCTAATGTTCTTGGGGGCTGCGAGATTGCTCCTGTATTTATTACGTTAGTATTCTGCACACTGTTGGTCTAGTTCTGAACCCGTTTGTCTTCCGAGATATATATACATATAGGTAGGCCTGCCTGGCTGGATGAAGGATTATGTCCCCTCCTCTATCTATTATCTGAATCACCTGCCCTTTCCTGATCTATAGCTTTGCATTTTTTAATTGTTCTTTTGCAGGCGATGAGTCACAATAACGTGGCTGAAGTATGTTGACCAGACCACACACTAGAAGGTGAAGGGATGATGACATTTCAGTCCGTCCTGGACCATTTTCAAGTCGACTGCAAATGATAACCAAGACAATCGACTTGAGAATGGTCCAGGACGGACCAAAACGTTGTCGTTCCTTCGCCTTCTAGTGTGTAGTCTGGTCAACTTGATTACTCTTTGTTTCTTAACTCCTTCAGTTTACCTCTTAGGATCCTGTCATTTTTTTTTGCTGCTCTATTGTGAGGTCTGGATATATGTGTACTGTACTTGGTTATACCCCTCGAGATCCTTGAGGTTGTGGGCACTGTTGGATATTTTCCTTCTGTGTTCAAAATTTGCAATGGTTATTCATACCATATTTGCTTCAGGCCAACCTACCCTTTCAACATTTGATATAATTAATTCTTCATCCTTACCTATGAGTTTCTCTATCATTTCCTCAATGAATTCCTGGTCATTCCTGCCCTCTTCTTTCACAAGGTTCACTCCACAACTGCTTGGAGTGGCCTGCAGGCCCACATATCCACTACAAGATTAGTCCAGTGCTTCTTGCAGAAAACACTAATGTTTCTTGACATTTACTATTGTTCCGGCAATATTTCTCATTAGGTAAGAATATTATACACTCAATTCCACATCAGCAATTATTGGAAACAATGACATAATTAGTACTCACCTGTGTTTGGACATCGTCGCCTGTTACAATATTACCAACTGCTCTTAAAGCTGCTGCTACTACACTATGTTGATTAAACCTGAAATAATAATAATTAGAATAATTACACCTACATATACAACTGAAAAACTATTGTTACTGAAAGAGAAATTGTTCCAATACTGTCATTTTAAAGAGAACTAAACAATAGGAAGCAAAAGTTGGAGAGGTAATTATATGGAAAAACTATTGTTCTATAGGAACTTATATTTATAAGAGTGGTGAAGGGAGTGTGAGAGAAATGAATTTAACGACTGTCTGAACCACTACACAACGGTTATCATCGTATGTTGATTCACGGGTTAATGCGGTTATTGTCACGTGATGATTCAGACAATTAGTGTCAGAGTTTTACATGTATGATGCAAATAAAGATAAAGTAACTGTGGATGTAATGCAGTTTACCTTGAACCATGACAAATCCTGCCATCATTTCATGGCTCATACTGAGTATGAGCTATATTGGTATTGGTACACCTCCAGGGGTGAATGAAGCATATAAAAATACCAAGAAATAACTATAACAGGTGAATTATATGAAAAAGTCAACCACAATATTAAAGAACAGGTAAGTAATTACTTATCAAAAGAAGGCACCAAGCCGGGTAGACTATGTAGCACCCTCAGTGTCGCTGGATATTCAAAGGGCGCTAAATATCACCGAGGATGCTAATACGAGAACAAAAGCACACAAGACAACTCAATATGAAAGATATCAGATTCCCCAAGGATTTTGTCGAGGTACAAATAACCTCGAGGGACGTTAGGAAAGGAAGACATACAATCGTCTGAAAATTAGGACATTCCATATGGAGATGCACGACTGGAAGTGGGACAATGCAGCTCTGACCGAAAGCAGCAAGGTGGCATTCCATTAAAAGTCCACGAGTTAAGTGTGTATGACCACCTAGCCAAAGCCATTTCCTACCATTTATTACAGAGGCAGTAGAAAGGCCAATGGGATAGGTTACTGTTAAGAGTGAACAGTTTGCTACCTGTAGCCTCAGACCAATGACCCTACCATTGATCTCTGAGGAATGAGTGACTGGGTATACCTCTGAATAAGGAATACCTTTTTTCAAAATGGGACAAATGTAGACAGCCTCCTAAGTGGCAGTGTCTGCACCTTCATTTAAGGTAAAACCAATATGGCAGGGAACTCGGCAAAACTCAACTGTTTTAAATCTGCTATAGATAAGAAATAGCCAATGTTGAATTTTTACTTCCGCAAGATGCATAGGCACAAGGCCATGAGGGCACTGCGGGAGTCAACCACAATGACAAAGGAATGTTGACGTTGGGTAAGCAGTTAATGAAATGCATACAAGATTGCATAGTCAAGCCATGAAGAGTAGTAGGCGGAACAGCCATAATCGACTTTAGATAGCACAAAAGAGGAGCGCAGATAAGGAATGTACATCAATCAGCTGCCCAGGAAGTATGGAACAAGACTAAGCAGGGTAAGGGCTTTAGAGCATTCAAACTCGGAAATAAGATATACTGTATATACAAAAAACATTAAAAAATAGGTAGGGATTACAGTCAATGAAAAAATTTTGTAATGTTCCCACTTATGGTTAGTAGAGCACTGACCAACAAATTGGAGAAAATAGTAGAAACCAGACAATTCTGTCACAGTACTCACAACAGTAGCTTCTCAGGTGCAGTGTTTATCATTAATCCAAAAAATAAAATCTCATTTTCCATTCCACAACCATTTTGTGAAATGAACTAACATTCCATGCTTTCCCTCACACCTCTGACCTCAGATCTCTCAAGAATTGTCTGTGAAGCTATATACTGAACTCATTTATATTTGTTCCTTTTCCAAGGCTATGAATTGCTAAATGGGCAACTTTGCTTTTACAATGACTACTAACAAAAGAAACTGTTACAAACATGAATCATCAGAGGCTACCTGACATGATTTGTCTGTAAAATAGCTAATCACTATAAATAACAAAGAGTTTTACATTACTTACATGAGAAGCTCAACAAGTCTACGACATACTCCAGCATCAATAACAGCTTGAATCTTCTCATTAGGCCCATCACTTAAATAACTAAGAGCCCAACAAGCATCAGCTAATACATCTGCATCACTATGGAAGAGAAGTCTAGACAAGACTGGGAGACATGGAGACACACGGGCAAAGTCAGGAGGTGGATTCTTTCCCCGGCATAAATTGCTCAGGGCCCAGACGGCATTGCGAGTCATTGAGAGACGAGTGGACTTGCTTAGGAGTCTGGAAAAAGAAGAAAGCAAATATTAATTAGCAGACACATTACAAGAGCTTATTTATTAATGATAAGTGTATGTGAAGAGAATTTTAGCTCTTCAGAACATCTCTAGCTAGAAGTCATCTGGTGCAACTACTCCCATGACCCTAAAATGCTTTATTTTATTTATCAAAACTGTTAATGGAGACTGCCTCCACTAAATACTGAAGCTGATTCTACTTGTTATCAATACACAATGAAGAAATTCTTTATTAAATCATTATAGATCATGTGTTTAGTTTCAACTATACCCTTTTCTTCTTCTATTTCCAATTTGTCAAAACAGACTGTTGTCGTCCACTATTTACTATACCTCCCAAAAACTTGTAAGAAATCCAAAGAAAATATTTTTTGGGTGGGAGCACTTCAATTTCGGCACACCACCCGTTTGTCACAATAAAAGCAGCACAGCACGGAGGTTATAGGGTTTCTCTGCTACAGAACTCAAATAGTAGCATGCAATGATTGCTTTAATGTTTTCTGTCAGATGACTTTGTAATCATCTAACTGGGTTAGAGGAGAAACCTCTTTACAAGGTTCAAACACATTTGTCATTGCATTTATTAGGGGCTGCATCTTTTTTTTCTTTTCTAAGTTTTATAAAATAATTTATGTTTATGAAATTAGGAAAACAGTGATGCATTCTTTAACACTTTGGCGTACCCCGCTCGCCACCCCTCAACTGTGCGATATGGGATCCAGGGTGTCACGGGAGTGCGCGTAAATTCTGAAAAGTGTATACTCTCCAACTTTGTCACCTTAATTCTCGTCCTACGAGATTAAATTTGGTATCATTGTGTTCGCAATAGAATTCTCTACAGCACTAAATGCATATAAACTCCAAAAGCCTGGCTAATTACCCGCAGCAAACAGAGAAAGTGCGAACGAGTTACCCAGGAGTGCGCAAACGCAATAAAACGTTTTCACTATTTTCACTCTGGTCACCTCAATTTTTATCCTAGGTCTTTCATTTTGGTCTCAATGGGTTCGCAATAGAATTCTCTAGAGGAACATTAGCATATAAAATAAAAAACCTGGTCACGCTCCAACCGCCGATGAGTTGAAGACGGGCCACGCGTTAGCCGCGAGTGAGTGCTCAGACGCCTTCCAGCTACACTCCCAATTCCCGCCCTTTTCAAGACTTTCTTTCGCAATTTTCTTCCTGGAAGGGCCTTGTTCATGATCACTATCCATCGTGGAGTAAGCGTAGATACTTTCTACAGCCGCAGTAAGAAATATAGCCACGGAAAATAGCCGAAATGTTCACACGTTTGAGATGCGAGGGGAGGCGACATTGGTCACAACAGTGGAGCGAAAACAATGGGCCCACGGCGTGTGCCAAGCCGCCTGAGGGCCACGAGGCTCAACAAAGAAAATGGGAAGACATCGGCGCATTTTAAAACCAGTCCCAAAAAAATCGGATAAAAACCTGATTTTTGGCGATTATCCCAGAATTACCGACAGTAAACGGATGACGCAATGCTGCGTCATGCCCGGGTGAAAGTGTTAACCACTGCACTGCGCAATGTGCCTTGAGGCTCTTGACGGGTGGTGTGCAACGCGCCTCAGGATCGAGCCTGGCCTCGGGCCGGGCTTGGGGAGTAGAAGAACTCCCAGAACCCCATCAACCAGGTATCAACCAGATCTTGTAAGTATAGCGTATCATTGAAAACTCCCGCGGCTACACAGGGTTCACATCAGCTTCCTAAGAGCTCTCCTAAACAGATGCCATTTTAAAAAAAAATTGTGGACAACATTCCCGGGTGTGAAATCCTCATTATTGAGTGAGCAACGAAGGCTGGTGCACGCAGCATGAGCTAACAGCATTGTGGTTCAACTTGTGACCACAGCATTGCCTAAAAATGTCCGAATATATATATACAGTATATGAATATATATGAATATATATATATGAATATATATATATATATATATATGAATATTATATATATATATATATATATATATATATATATATATATATATATATATATATATATATATATATATATTATATATATATATATATATATATATATATATATATATGTCGTACCTAGTAGCCAGAACTCACTTCTCAGCCTACTATGCAAAGCCGGATTTGCCTAATAAGCCAAGTTTTCATGAATTAATTGTTTTTCGACTACCTAACCAACCTAACCTAACCTAACCTAACTTTTTCGGCTACCTAACCAAACCTAACCTATAAAGATAGGTTAGGTTAGGTTAGGTAGGGTTGGTTAGGTTCGGTCATATATCTACGTTAATTTTAACTCGAATAAAAAAAATTGACCTCATACATAATGAAATAGGTAGCTTTATCATTTCATAAGAAAAAAATTAGAAAAAATATATTAATTCAGGAAAACTTGGCTTATTAGGCAAATCGGGCCTTGAATAGTAGGCTGAGAAGTGAGTTCTGGCTACTAGGTACGACATATATACATATATATATATATATGAAGGGGATATATACAGTATATCAATATATACCAATATATATGTATTGGAGGGGATCTAAACATTCCCTCTAATGCGTTATGCGTGGTTTCCTCCGAGGCTATGGGTCCCCCTTCTTCCAGCTAGAGGTGGTACTCCCTTCCATATTTTTGTTTTCCTTATTTTTTTAATATATGAATATATATATATTTTTTTTTTTTTTTTTTTTTTTTTTTTTTTTTTTTTTTTTTTTTTTTTTTTTTTACTTTGAATGCATTTATTTAAAAATTATCGCCGGCCACCATATGAAGACGGGATGGGCTGAGTCACCTGCAGTCCAGCGACTTTGTCGAAGTCCATCAATTTCAACATTTCCTTCGTGTCGGCATCAACAAAGGCTGAATATATATATATAAAAATATATGAATATATAAGCCTATACTTGCTTGAACCACAAGTGAAGATTAACAATCTTTAGACAACACCCACCAGTGGGCCTCGAACCCAGAAAGCACAACTACCTTCCAGTAGCTGCCATAACTAGTACGCCTTAACCCACTACACCACATCAGACCCTTAAAAGAGATAGAGATTTTGAGGTATATATACACCCTAAATATCCCCATCTCCCAAGGGCACTAGATTAGTGAGGGGTCACTATACGTTTTTCATCAAGCCACTGTTATTGTGGGAGAACTCGTGTCTATGCTATAGACACGAGTTCTCATGTTCTCTTATAGCATGGTCTCTATACAGAGACCAAGTAAAGACAGGTGTCAAATGAGATTTATCTGGAGCCATAAATATGTGGGGTAAGGGAGTTTCAATGTTACTGACCACTACAGTTTATAACCTATGTTGGTCACCTTTTCCCTCCAATCTCACACTACGCTATTTAAATTCCAGTTACATTTCAAAAAGCGTGTAAGGAGAATATTATTTCAATAAAAGTCACGTTACAGCATAGTGTACTTCAAATTTTTGTATTCATCAATAAATATGGCCTGAATTGTACCTGGATGGGGTTTTGGGAGTCCTTTTACTATCCAAGCCTGGTCCAGGACAAATGCAGTATGACATAATATGACCTTTAACATACTCATTAACTTTACCTTTGATCTTCACTCTTAGATGCACTTTTGTACTTCTAAAAAGAACTTCTCATTTCACCCAATAATTTAACTTTCCTTCCTAGTTCTTCAATCACTACCCATTTTTCAGATGCACCATCCTCTTCGCATTCCTTCACATTATTTGCATCCTTTTCCTGCTACTCTTTTTCTTGTCTTCTTGAAGTCATAGGATTTACCCTTTTCTTTAATCATATAAATTTTAAGTGAATTTTAGGAAGGGAAGAGAAAGGCTGAAGAACATGTGCAGATGAACAACAAATGTTATGTAAACATCAATCAAGAAGATCCAGTGGAAGCAGTTTTCTCAGATGGAATAAACAATTGGCATTTAATGTGAGACAATTCATGTGAAGCACTCTACACACAGTCAATGAAACCGCTGAGATAATATGGTGGAGTGTCATTCTGATTTCCTGTGATACTAATACTGAAGCCGAAGATAGTAATGTATTATGGTAAGATTTGCTTTCATGAATAATATATTATTTCAGTCTTCAATTATTGTGTTTTATTTCAAGGAATGTATGTCTTTTGTGCAGATGAAGTCACAATAACGTGGCTGAAAAATCGACTTGATAATGTTCCAGGACGGACTGAAACGTCGTCGTCTCTTCAATTTCTAGTGTGTGATTTGGTCAACATGTCTTATGTGTTTCTTGCATAGTAGAACGTCAATTTTCAAATGCCCCTCTTTTCAAATTTTTTGGTTCTCAAGCTCAATTTCTTTGAAAAATTCAACTCGGTATTCGAGGTTTGCCTCGGTGCTCGAGTTTGTTGATACACGTATGGGCCAACCAAACACATGGCACGCTTCAGTTTACCAGTCTCTCCCGACTAGTGACGACCGCGCTTGAATTCTTTGTGAAGAATTTAATTTTTTTGTGCTTTTTTGGTTTCTGAACATAAAGGGTTCTTATTATGTATCATGCCATGGGTTCCAAGAAAGTCAGTGATAAAGTTCAACCTAAGAAAATAGTTGTGAGGATGACACTAGGGCAAAAACAAGAGATCATTCATAGTGAAAATGTGATGTCTCACTTCAGACAAGTGTTAAAATGCAGTGTAAAAAAAAAAAAAAAAAAAAAAAAAAAAAAAAAAAAAAAAAAAAGTGTCTATAGACCAGATTCTTAGCAAGACAAGCATGCAGTGAGCTACAACCAGATCCTAGTGGTATGCCTGTAAAATGTAAGAGTACCCCAGAAATGGCATTACTCCTGTTATAATGGAAGGGGGACTCCCCTTCCAAGCACTAACACCTCTCCTCCTCCCACCTTCCTCACTGTCTTCCATACGCCAGCAAGAGTCCTCAATGAAGTAAGGTGTACTTGTACATACTGTAGTACAAAATGTAAGTGATAGTATGTATAAAATCTATTTTTAAGTTAATATTTTTGGGGGGTGTGGAAAGGATTAATTCAATTTACGTTACTGTAGTTCTTATGGGAAATTTTGTTTCAATTTTTTAATTTTTTGGTTTTCGAACCGTCTCTGGGAACGGATTAAATACAAAAACAAAGGAACAGTACCACTGTATTACACTCGACCCTATTTTCTCTAGATTGTTTTCCATCGTTTTTGAGTACATGATTTTGCACCCCATCACTATGGGAATGTGATGCGAATTATAAAGCTAACAGTTCCATTATCTGATGTTGACATTGTTGTAATCCACAAGTTAGTAGGAATTATTAGCTAGAGGATCATTACTACAACACTTAACGAATGATGATTGGAAGTACATGTTAACACTTTCGCGCCCCCGGCGAAGGTCAGGAAAAAAAACGTATGTGCGCGCGGCGTTTTTGTCGCTTAAGCGTAAAAACATAAATGTGTATACTCTTTTTACTCTCCTGACCTTAGTTCTCATGCTACGTATTTCATTTTGGTACCAACGTGTTCGCAATAAAATTCTCTAGAAGAACATCAGTAAAAAGAGTCACGAAAGCTATAGAGATACCAGCACGAAATAAATAACTACGAAGATGAGTCGCCATGAGCGCCCAACAGCAACAAAATGTTTTTACTCTTGGGATAATTATCACCTCTACACTTGTCCTACAGCCTTAATTTTGGTATCAATGGACTCCCAATGAAATTCCCAACACGGTGATATGAATATAATCGTAGAATAATGGTCGCGGCCCACCCGCAAGAGTGTGGGAAGTGGTAACAGTGACCGGACGACACATGCGCGAAACGTTGCTTTGAAAGTTTATACTTATTTCACTGTCCTGATATTATTATTGTATGTATGTCATTCATTTTTGTGGCAATGTGTTCGCAATAGAATGTTCTATGAGCTAAATTATACTACACAAACTTGGACCAAATAGGTGTATTTACCAAGGGAAGGCTGGTTGTGGAACAGTAAGTTGAGCATTTGTTCTTCACTCCACCTTCTTCAGGTTCTTCATTCCTGAAGTTGCTCAACAGATGGTTTGTAGGTGGAGTGAAGCTGTTGCGGGTGGTTACTTCTTCACCACCCAATACACCCTTTTCCCGGTGGTAATTGGTGTAGCAGGGAATAACACAGAGTGCAACGTTGCAGGTCCTGCATCCTATGTTCGTGTCCTTCGTTTTACCGGACCGTGCGCATACATGACACTTGAGACGTTTGGGCAGTCTGTAAAGTTCATGTTTCAGTTTGTAGTTCATGCGATTTTCTGAATCAACAATAGGGCCAGGTCTTCTCGCTGGAGGTGAAACATTTGAATGAGTCAGATTCATCTGACAAAAGAGTTTCGTCAAATGGCAGTGTGGCAGACATGTCGGGTTCAGATGGCAGTGTGGCAGACATCTCGGGTTCAGATTCGGTTGCTGCTTCATCTTGAGGTGGTGTAGTGAACAAAGGCCGCCTCACACCAGATGGTCCGGGAGTTTGCATGGCGTCAGCATTGGCAGGAGCTGTGTCATCATTTATGTCTGGAGCGTGCCGCAAGTGTTGAGATGATGATGATGTTTTAGGCCACTCCTCTGTGTCCCAGTTCAATAGGGCCCAGATTGCCACTTCGTGGAACTGTAGCAATGTTAGCTTTTTTTGATCAGTTGTGTTGTATTTGTACAAAACAAAGGCATTATGCAATGCCATTTGCAGGAAATAAAAGGTTATCTTTTTGGTCCACTTGTGAGTTTTCCTGGTAAAATGGTAATATTTAACCATTTGATCGAAGTGGTCCACACCTTTCATGAACTTATTGTACTTGCAAATTGCAGTAGGTTTGTTCACTGTTACCTGTTGTATTCCACTTGTTCCGTCTCGTTTGCGAATTCGTTTCCTTCGCTGAACTTGCTGAGTGTCTGCATTGTGGATGTTGGTAATTATTGAGACTACTCGCTTGTCTCTCCACAGGAGAATGAAGGTGTTATCTTTGCGGCGGTATACGGTGGTATCCAGTGGAAGTTTACCCTTGGCTAGAGCTTGCAATACCTTTGGGGCGCCACGTAGCATTCTAATTGTGCCACATGTGTACACCCCAAGTTCTCTCAATTTTTCTGTTAGGGTAACCGAGTTGTAGTAATTATCCATGTACAAATGGTAACCCTTGCTCACTAAAGGCTGAACCAACCCCGTTACTGTATCCACTATCGTCTTACCAATACCTAAGTATACGTCAAAGTCATATATGTAGCCAGAGACAGATTCAGCAAGCATATAAAGTTTCACACCATACTTGTCTGGTTTGTTTGGATTGTACACTTTGAACGATAGTCGGCCACGCCATGCCATTGTACCCTCATCCAAACACAACTCTTTATTTGGGATGTAAACTTGAGCAAACCTCTCTTTCAAGTAATCCATCACTGGCCTCACTTTTATCAACTTATCACGATTGTTCACGGGCACTGCATTGGTATTGAATGTGTGGAAAAACTGGTTTATATGCTGGAAACGTCTCGACGTCATGAACAAGTTGAAGAAACGAGCATGCCATGGCTTTGCTGTTTGCCAATACATCCTCATAGATGGGAGCCTGTTTATGCCCATCAATATGCACAGTCCTAGGAATCGTGCCATTTCACTCACCTTCAGTGGGTTCCAAATATCTGATACATTTTCATTGGCCATCTGGAATAACTGAGAGGCGTACAAATTAGTTTCAACGGTCAAGAATTCAAGGAGGGCACGCGTAATGAACAATTGAATATAAGCCAGTGCACTAGTAGGTTTGGGAATTTTCAGTCCAGGATTTCCAGTAAAATCATCAACAATTGGAGGAGTATTGCGACGACTCCAGCCATCACCAGCCCCAGCCTGCCGAGTACGTACTGTATGTGTACGCCTTTCAGGAGGCTCGGATGAATCCTCCTCACTTTCCTCATCACTTTCAACTTCCATGCTTTTATCACTGCTAGAATCACTTGGCGCAGTTTGTTGTGTGTTCCTACGACGAGCAACATTTCTGGTAGCTACTTTTCTAGGTAGTCTAGATGCACCACGTGTGCGCCGAGATGGAGGAGGAGGAGGGGGTCGCGGTGCCTCCTCTTCCTCGGTGAGGGCCTCAGTCTCCTCATCACTCGTTACCGTATCATTCCCTCTAGGTCCCTGCACTCCACTATAATCGTTGTAGTATCCAACCTCTTCCTCCAATACCTCTACATCACCTTCAGCATCTGATAAATCCTCCACGAGGCCTGGAATTTTCGTTGGTGTGAGCTTCACTCCGCTCCACTTCTGATAAATCATGGTTATTTTGTCAACTTTCGAGGACCTGGAGGCTTCCTTGGGCGTAGAACTGCTTGGGCCTTGACCTGGATCCATTTTTGATGAAGTAATTGGGTATAATCCACACGGAAACGGGTAAAAATGCTCGAGGGGAGCGTGATCGACTCACGACACGTGACACGAAAACAATGGGCCCGTCACGTGACCGGGTAGGCCGACGCGCCGGACGGCCTAGTGGTGAGAAAGAGAACTTCATGGCGTGTCGTTTGAAACAAACCCCAATGAAATCGGATTAAAATTGAATTTTATACAAATATTTTAAAAGAGGACAATTTTATGTCCACCTAGCAGGAGTGGTGAGGCGAAACAGGACTCCGGGAGGAGTCCTCATCCGCAGAAAGTGTTAAGTAGACAGACTATGGATCACATATCTAAGAAAGGTCAAGGGATTAAGACCGCAGCTACTTAGCCAAATTAATAATTCCTGGAAAGAGGAATTATTCTTCTTCAGGCTTCTAGGAACAAGATTACCGCTTCTAGGGATAAGGTTAATCGGATTATACCTTCCTTGAGAGGCGGGGTGAAATGGTTGAGGTAGATGGCTGATTGGAGCCAGTCTGATTGTGGGAGTTGAACTGAGAAGTCCTCTGGATCTCCGTTTGCGGCAGCAGCGAAGTGTAGCAGATAGCTATGCGAGAACCTAATGTGATTGTAGTGACGAAGTTAAGTCTGCAGTATGTGAGTATTGGTTGAAAGACTAACCGGGTGTGGAGCGTTGTAGTAATCATTCCGTATTAGGGACTTAGGCGGAAGTTATGAGTGCAAGTGGTGACCGCGGAGGTCAAGTGGTCTATGGGTATTGGAAGTGTATTTACCTAATAGAGTATGTTAATATTATTTGTCAGAGTCTATTCTTTGTAATTAAATGACAAAACCCGACGGCCTTTAAATACCTTCCATATGTTCACTCATTGTGTTCCAGTACAAACCTAGTGGTACGCCTCAAGGGTCTGGTGTGTGTAGGAGTACACGGTGGTAGAAACGGTTGCTGAGGCAAGGTGTTATGTGTTATGTAATCGCTGTGTTCGGAATGAACCGGGGTTCAGAGTCACGACAACATACATTCTGATCAGATGTAGACTGGCACCTTTAAAAAAAAACTAATTAATTTTTTTAAAGCTTTTCAAATTGAAAGAGGCTGACTGCAATTTTAATAATGTGATGAATTTAAATCCAATTCATCCATCCCACAAAAAAAAAAAAAATTATTTTACTACTCACTTATGAAAGACATTTCCTATTCAATGATAAACAAATTCCACAATAAACAAACATTAAACATACTTACTGTAACAAAGGCATTAGAATATTCTCTGATAGGACATAATCTCGGCAATCAGGCGAGTCACCTGCAATGTTTCCAAGTGCCCACACTGCTTGTTCTTGGACGTCTTCAAAATCCGAACTCAGGAGGCGAATAAAAATAGGTACAGCACCAGCTTCTATAACAATTCTAGTCTGCGTGCTGGTACCAGAAGCTATATTGGTTAGTGCCCAGGCAGCCTCAAACTGAAATGAAAGCAGTGAACTACTACTGTGCTCCAATAACATTTTCAAGAATAATGATGTAGGTGATTTTCTAAATACTTTACTCTTTCTCTTGAAAGAGAAACCACTAGAAAAGTTCCAAACAAAAACATAGTTCCTTGTCATTAAAACAAAAACACAGTACGTACAGTACTGGAATGATAAATAGGGTATAGACAGAAATCAGAGTTTGCAATAGCAAGAGAATGAAATTTAAGAATTATAATAAGAGATGTATATGCTCAGGGATTTGGAAAATCATAAATTATCACCAGTCTAGTCAAAAGCTAATTTTGACAACAATCCTTTCTTCATACTCTTGTGCACAGTGAAAATTAAGAGCGCTTCATTTTGAGAGTGCATGACACTTGACATATGAAATGGAAGGAGTTACTATATGGAACAAAGCATTAAAGATATAAATATAGGGATTACCTGGGGTATACCTGGAGTACATTCTGGGAGTTCTACTCCCCAAGCTTGGCCTGGGACCAAGCTTCACTTGTGATGAACAATACCACCACATTTTTCACACAACTGGAACAATCTTTTAAAACAATGTACCTTACCTTACCTTGCACTGATTTCGAGGATCAATGTCCCCATGGCCTAGTATAAAAACAAACAATTTTATTGTTCTTGTATAAATTGATAATCAAGCATTGACTCTGCAAACACACAACGTAACTGCCCCTTTTATCTGCCTGTTACAACTATGACGCATTAAAATTTTGTCATGTGCTATATTGGTTGTTACAACTTGTTAGGTGTTAAAACGTGTTGGAACGTTGTAGCAACGTCGTAGTTTCGTTGTGTGTTTGGCGGGGAATGTATGAAAATGAAAGCTTGAAAATGAAAAAACTAAACTTTTTCTAGACTACCTCAGTTGCCTTGTTGTGTACTGACTCTGGTATTGTACCAAGTCCCCAAACCTGTGCAGGCCTACCAAACACACATATCAGAACCTAATGTACTCAAAGGGGCAAGGACAGCATGGGGGATCATAGATCAAACCAAAACTAAGGAAAACTGCCCAGAAAGTAAAGGCAAAAGGAAGCAAACATCATGATTAAAAGGAGAAAGGAAGAACAGAAGGGAAGCAGTAATTTGACACAGGCCGTTTGCTGCAGACAAACTTATTATGCTAGCGCCCATACCTGCTACTAGAAGGCAGCTCAAGTCTGCTACTAGAAGGCAGCTCAAGTCACTTGGGGATGACTTGAAATACTAGGAGGCATTTCTAAATACCTCTGCTAAACATACTAGGAACACTAGTTCCAAATCTGCACACAAATAATACCATATATGACCAGAAGGCGTGACAGGATATGCAAAATACTGTAACACCATTGAAAAGCAAGAGGTGCAACAGGCACACAGAGAGCTGGATCAACATCAAAGACCCAAGACTTTTTAACATTCTTACCCTACACATACAAGGCATGTCCGACCTTTAACTGTCCGACCTTTCGCAGTGTTCAAAAGAGAACTTGGCAAACACCTTCAGAAGAATACCTGACCAACCAGGCTATGGTTCGCATGTCAGGGTAAGTCACATCAAACAGCATGGTTGATCAGACCACCAACCAGGAGGCCTGGGGTCGGATTCACAAAGCATTTATGTAAGTACTTACAAACCTGTACATATTTTCTCAATCTTTGGTGGCTTCGTTTACATTTATTAAACAGTTATTACTGTACCATCGAAACTTCCCAGTCAAATGTTATTGTTATAAACAGCCTCCCAGTGCTTCCGGGCTTATAAACCGTTTAATAAATGTAAACAAAGCTCCCAAAGATTGAGAAAAGATGTAGAGGTTTGTAAGTACTTACATAACTGCTCGATGAATCCTGCCCCTAGTCAGAGACCGGGCTATGGGTACACTGATCCTTGGTATCATTAACAGGTAATCGATAGGATATCTATGATTATATGTTCTGCGATACAAATAAAAATAATGACAGCCCCACTGCACTTAAATGTGCTCAGAACATTGCTCTATTGTTCTAAGCAAATATTGTTGTAAGTAAATAATATGGTGTGCGTTTTAGTGACAGGAATATATTTGTGCATTCCTGTGATCAACATGTTACAGCCCATTATCATTGCACTTGAAAAAGATACAGTAAAACATTAGAAATATGAAGAAAATATTATATATTAAATGCATGCAGTTACACTTTCATGCAAAACATGCAGAGCTAGGCTGATTATTTTTTATTTATATATATATATATATATATATATATATATATATATATATATATATATATATATATATATATACAGTACAACCTCGATTCAACGTACCCCGATTCAACGAATCTCCGGCTAGTTCGCACACTTTTCAGGCCGAATTTACTCACCCGGTTCGACGAACAATGGTTCGCCGAAGCGAGGGATGTTCGGATTTGCTTACGATGTCCAGACAGAGTTCACAGACTGGTGGAAAACTTTCCCATTCTATAACAGATTACAATTAATAATTCTCTCATATGACAAGTTGGATCACACAAGTGGATCACACAAGTGGACCACACAAATGGACCACACATGTGGACCACAAGTGGTCCACAAGCTTACGATTTTGGGACAGAGTTCACAGAGTGGTGGAAAACTTTCTCATTCTATCACAGATTACAATTAATAATTCCTTCATAAGAAGTTGGATCACACAAGTGAACCATATGAACCAAACACCAGCCAAAATGGTCCACACAAACACCAGCCAAAATGGTCCACACAAACACCAGCCAAAATGGTCCACACAAACATCAGCCAGAGTGATCCACACAAGTGAACAACTGAGTTTCCATGATTTTCGTTCACTGATTTGGGGCACACGTATCTTTGTACATTAATTTAAAGGATGAAGCGTGATTACCTAGCTACATGTGGTAAAATCTCCTTATAGACATTTTCTGTGATGAAACAAGATGAGTGAGGGTGGACAGATAAGAGAATACTATACTGTAAACCTCACTTTACAGTGAGGTTTCATTCACTTTCGTCTGTGTGTCGTCATAGTTCAGTGACCCATGACTTTTGAAAGTTTCATATTAAGAAATAATTTCTAAAACCAGTGTTTTAATAGCTTTTTATTATCCTAATTAAACTAAACTAAATAAAACCGAAAATATGCTGTAACATGATAGACATCTGCTCTTTGAGAAATTACTGTATGTTATTGGAACAACTCTAGCGTGAGTGGACGGGTCTAATCCCTGTACACACACCATGCTTGTTTCCTCCCGCCCTCCCTCTCTCCCCCTCCCCCTCTCTCCCCCCCTCCCTCCCTCCCTCCCTCCCTCCTCCCTCCCTCCCTCCCTCCCTCCCCCTCCCTCCCTCCCTCCTCTCCTCCCTCCCTCCCTCCCTCCCTCTCCCTCCTCCCTCCCTCCCTCCCTCCTCCTCTCTCTCTCCCCCCTCCCTCCTCCCCCCTCTCTCTCTCTCTCTCTCCTCTCTCTCTCTCTCTCTCTCTCTCTCTCCTCTCTCTCTCTCTCTCTCTCTCTCTCCCTCTCTCTCTCTCTCTCTCTCTCTCTCTCTCTCTCTCTCTCTCTCTCTCTCTCCCTCTCTCTCTCTCCTCTCCCTCCCTCTCTCTCCTCCTCTCTCTCTCTCTCTCTCTCTCCTCCCTCTCTCTCTCTCTCTCCTCTCTCTCTCCTCCCTCTCCTCTCTCTCTCTCTCTCTCTCCATCCTCTCCTCCTCTCTCTCTCTCTCTCCCTCCTCTCCTCTCCCCTCCTCTCTCTCTCCTCTCTCTCCTCCTCCTCTCTCCTCCTCCTCCTCTCTCCCTCCATCCATCCTCCCTCCCTCCATCCATCCATCCTCCATCCATCCATCCATCCCCTCCATCCATCCATCCCCTCCATCCTCCATCCATCCATCCCCTCCATCCATCCCATCCCTCCCCATCCCCATCCATCCATCCATCCCCTCCATCCATCCATCCCCTCCCTCCATCCATCCATCCATCCCCTCCCTCCATCCATCCATCCATCCCCTCCCTCCATCCATCCATCCATCCTCCCTCCATCCATCCATCCATCCCCTCCCTCCATCCATCCATCCATCTCCTCCCATCCATCCATCCCCTCCCTCCATCCATCCATCCCCTCCCTCCCACCATCCATCCATCCATCCCCTCCATCCATCCATCCCCTCCATCCATCCATCCATCCCCATCCCCTCCCTCCATCCATCCATCCATCCATCCATCCATCCATCCCCTCCCTCCATCCATCCATCCATCCATCCATCCCCTCCCTCCCTCCATCCATCCATCCCTCCCTCCATCCTCCATCCATCCATCCCTCCCTCCCTCCCTCCCTCCCTCCATCCATCCATCCTCCCCTCCATCCATCCATCCCCCTCCCTCCATCCATCCATCCATCCATCCCCTCCCTCCATCCATCCATCCATCCCCTCCCTCCCTCCATCCATCCCCTCCCTCCCACCATCCATCCATCCATCCCTCCCTCCATCTATCCATTCCCTCCCTCCATCCATCCATCCCCTCCCTCCATCCATCCATCCATCCCCCTCCCTCCCTCCATCCATCCCCTCCCTCCATCCATCCATCCATCCCCTCCATCCATCCCCTCCATCCATCCCCTCCCTCCTCCCTCCATCCATCCATCCATCCATCCATCCATCCATCCCTCCCTCCCTCCATCCATCCATCCATCCCCCCTCCATCCATCCATCCCCTCCCTCCATCCATCCATCCATCCCCTCCCTCCATCCCCTTTCTCCCTCCATCCATCCAGAATTGAAGAAACAAATCAAGTTAAAAAAAAAAAGTTAACTGGGTCAGAGTTAGGGTTATCAGCGAGTCGGTCCCTTCACCACCACCGACACACCTCCCCCCCCCCCCACCCCTACAGCCCATACACACACACACACCCTCAAATCATCCATCCCTCCCTCCATCCTACCATCAATCCATCTCCATCCTCTCCTTCCCTGCCTCCCTCCCAAGCTCTGCCTG